CACACACACACACACACACACACACACACACACACACACACACACACACACACCTGTTTCAGGGAGATGTTTTCATCTTTGAGCTTCATCACATGTTTGATCTTCTGCTTCTGGTTTTGGTGCCCCAGGAGGCTAGCATAAGCGTTAGCTAATTTATTTAATTCTTCTTGGCTTGTCCCATTCTCATTAAGCAGAGCGGCCCGCTCTGCTGCAAATGCATTAAGTTGTTCCTGAGGGCGCACACACACCAAAATACATTTTTTAGTTTATCAAACTGGCACCTGCAAATTAACTGTGGTGAAAGTGCATTCATTCAGATCTGATGCTTGTACAAAGTATCCTAATCAGAGCTCTGCACTGTCAAAACGATACTAAAAATGGGAATAAAACCATATTAAACCGTAACTCACTTTCTTAAAAGTATGTTTTGAATAACAGCCATTTAGTACTTTGTTAAATAGTTTTATTGAAAGTTCATCTAATGCAGGATTTCTGTTTTGTTTTCAGCATGATGTGTAACCTCTCTAGAGACAACAGATGATAAATAGCCTTTTGGCTACATTTATCTAATGCAGAGGTTCTCAAACTAGGGTCTACGGAGCCCACCACAGTCTGTTAACTGTAGCTTGGAGGTCCACAAAATAAACTGCAATAAATTATGAATTATGTCATATCATAAAAAAATGCATATACGGGACCAGTACACAAATAAAACACTTATCCATTTAAAATAACATTTAAGGGATTATGTATTTTCCAAGCATAAAGTTATTATGACCTCCGCACGTGAAGCGTAAGCAGGAGTCATATTGTTTTCGTACTGTTTTTTTTTTTCAGTGATCTTTGGTCAACCGTACCACAAAAACGGCTGCACCGCTCAACATGAAATTTGGCAGAACTGTTGATGAGTCTGACCTACACTGCGCCAGCCAACAGTTTTACGATAGACCCCATATTTGAGGAGGGGGCTCCTTTCAAAGTGGGGGTGTCAGGACATGCAAAATCGCTCATAACTCAGAAAGTGTTCAACATAGGAGCTTCAGATTTCTTTTGTTGTTTAGCTCTGATAAAGCTCTATCCATCAGGCACACCAATCAGTGCCCCCCCCCCATTTATCTGAAAAAGGGGTATCTGGACATGCAAAAATGGTTATAGCTCAAAAACTAACATTAGAGCTTCAGATTTCTTTGGTTGTTTAGCTCTGATGAGGGGCTATCCATCAGGTCTAACGCCCACCCCAATCCCACCCCACCAAAAAAGACACCCACCCAAACCACTACAATTTTGGGATGCACATAGTAGCATGACATTTATTAGRAATAAAGACTTCTGAGTTCTGGTGCATTTGTGCGTGCGGGGGTCATTATGTTACTGCTATGTGGTATCTAGTTGAGTTACTTTCAGTTGTTATAAAAACATTGCATGTATCAATAATAAATTTAAGTTTGTATCAAAGCCCATCTAAACACTTGGAAATTGGCCTMTGTCTCTTTAAGAACCTCCTGCCATCTCTGACACTCCCACTTCAGCATGTCTTCACAACAATGCTTCAGAGGCAGGAGCTCGGCTGCAGACTGAGCTCTAGGGAGGAGCTTTGTACAAATAGGAGGAGCTTTGTACCAGCAAGCGTTCAGGCAGCTCCACATGTCTGCAGGAGATTTAAGAATTCCTCAAACATGCATGAATGAGTCAAAGCAACACTGTGGGTATAATACTCCACTTTAAAGGTTAAAATAGCAGAAAGAAATTTTTAAAATCAGAATGAGGTTTTGAGGGAGTCCTTAGAAATTTCTCTCCTGTGTAAGTCATCCCCAGACCCAAAATGTTTAAGAAAGCTTAATCTAATGTTCATAAATGTACAGTGTCCTTGTTAAATAAGCCAATAAACTAAACACACATAAAGACTGACCTGAAAGGGCCTGACTTTAGCAAACAGCTCCTCGTACTGTTTCTTCCAGCGCTCCAGCTCAGCAAAAGAGGAGCTTTAAAAGAAAAAAAACAGAGAAGTTCAACTTTGCAAATGGTGAAATACGTATAAAAACTCTCCATCTCCTGAGGCCACAGAGCAAACCCAGCGTTGCTCACCTCTTCTCTTGTACTTCGGCTAATTGTCTTTGGAGTTCCTGTCGCTGCTCCTCCATTTCCCACTGCAGTGTAACCTTCTCCTGAGTCAGTACTTCTGCTTGGTCCCTCAGAGCCAGTTTCTCCTGTCTGTGCTTTTCCAGCTCATGTTCCAGAGCCTGCGTCTTCTCCTCCATGACGTTTAATTGGGCCTGCAGRCTAACCTTTTCTTGTTCGGTGTCGTCCAGGCGAGCCCGGAGCTGATCTCTGTCCTGTTCGGCCGTGTTCACTTGGTTTTCCAGCACACGCCTGATCTCTTTAAATTCCACCTCCGAGAGCAAACTCTCCCTCTCCTGGTTTAACTCTCGGAGCTCAGCGTGTAGTGCCTGTGCCTCTGACCTGACCCGCTCGTGGTTTCGCCTCTCAACTTCCAGGGCTTCTTTTTCCTCCTCGAGAGCTCTGTGAAGTTTTCCTCTCTCCTCTTTTTCTTCTTGGAGCTGCTTTATTATTTCTGCTTTGTGCTGACTGATCTCCTCCAAGACTCTCTGGGCCTCCTCCCTCTCATGCCAGAGCTGAGTTAAATTCTGATTTCTCTGTTCTTCGAGACGCCCCAGCGCCTCTTCCGTCTCGTTCATCTGCGTCTGCAGCTGCGTTTGAAGCTGCGCGATTTCAGCTGCGCGGCTCGCCTCTGCGGCCTTCATCTCCTCATCCTTTTGTGCGAGGCGAGCCTGAACCTCAAGCAGAGCTCTGCAAGGTGTACGAGAACAGAAGGTGAAACGATGACAAACATTTCAGAGCAGACAAAGTGAGTTTGAGGCATACTTTGAATTCTCCTCCTTGGCTTTTTCTTCAGCCAAGAGTCTCTCCTGGTGCTCCTCTGTCTGCCGCCTCAGTCTGCCGAGCTCCTCCTCTTTCTGTTCCACCAGTTGGTCCACGGCCTCCGTCAGCTGCCGGGTCACTCGCTCCACCTCTGCCTCCAGCTCTCTCTGTCTTCCTCTCGCTCCCCTCAGATCCTCTCTGGTGCTAAAAAGTAAGACGAGTGTTCTGTGAAGCTCAAACGCCGACGGAATTCAAACTTTCACACCACGCGTGAATCAAACGCAACACCAGAAAACGCTGACAGTCKAGCGCTCACCTTTCCAGCTCCGTGACAACATCTTCCATCTTCTTCTGAGAGTCGGCGTTTGCCTCCTGCAGCTCTCTCACGGCTGATAAATGCAGCTCTTTCATACACGCCACGTCGCTGCTTTTACTAAGACAGAAGAATACAAATGATAGCTAATGCACTGTAGCAGCCTACAAAGCTACAGTGTGGCACAATCTGGGACTTGATTGCTAAACGGTGGTCAGGTAAATGATGAAAACATCATTTGAGTGAAATGTCCAAAATAAGAATCACTTAATCCAATAAAAGGTCACCTATGAGAAATATGATAAGGAAAATTAGAATTTATGTTCATTTAAAAACGGAAACATGTAAATATTTCTATCTGTTCTGTACAAGTCTTTGAAAATCCTTCAACACTAAAAGCTCTGAGAAGAAAAAAAAAGTAAAATTTTAATAATATTGCAATATACACTCACCGGCCACTTTATTAGGTACACCTG